CCTTAAGAAATCTGCTAAAAAAAAAAATGTAAAATCCATCAAATGTGGTGCTAATATTATACCATCACACAGGTAAGATCCGTGATTCTTAAAGGTTAATAAAATTTACACGTTTTGTCTGCGGTGCTTCTATACGTATACCGCTCCTCTGAATTACAAGAAAAGCCTGTTGGAAATCAACAACTATCCGCTGTAGCGAAAATCTTCTGCCTTGTGGAATTACAATGAGCAGAAAGAAAATGAAGGGGAGGGAATGGAAAGGCCCAATCAATATTTTAGCACATTATAAATTATCTCAGTGGCATAGAATTTAGATGATAGATCAGTAGGCTATCCTCTATAAAGCCATCACATATTAATATGGTGTAAATCAGAGGACTAATAAGAACGCACAACTAGGTTTTTCTGAAACGTATTAACAATCACTGAAGACATTATGCGGCTATGCTAAAAATCTATAAGCAATTTCTGTGTTGTGTCTGACTTGCGAGTATGGAATTAGATGAAAGAGATAAGAGGGTTAATGGCACGGAGGACTCAGTATGCACTGCCATAGACCAACTAGCACCAAACATTTTATGGAGAGACTAGTAACAGGTTAAATATTACAATAAAATGTATAGATGATCATTTTGCAGAGATATAAAAAAAAAATCAAATATGCATTTGCTGTATAATGTTCTGATTTGGGGCTGAGCTACATGGGGGGTTTCTGATTCACTCGATGCCAGCAGCAGAAAAATTGCTCTTGATCAACCACAGTAAAAATAGTTCCATACGGAGCTTCATGCTCAAATTTTTTTTTCAGTCCTTATTGCTAATACAGTTAAAGCGGAAATCCAGATACAAACTTTCATTTAAAAGGGGAATTAGGAGGTGAGTGAAAATCACTCATCCTCATAGTTCGAGGCGACGTGTTACAATGAAACAATGTGTCACACGTCAGCTCTATAGATTGGAAAGTGAGCGAACACATTCTGTCGCTCGCTCACTTTTCGATCATCTCCCTGCAGAGAGCGGTGACCGTCAGTTACGGCTCCCTGCAGGAATTCTCCCCCTCCGATCCTCCAGGGCTGAGTGGAGGAACGGACAGGGGAGGGGGCGGGCACAGCTGGCTCTGCCTCTAGATAGGCAGAGCCAGCTGTCACTCACGCAGCTGGGTGGATCTCGACAGCATTGTCGGGATCTGTCCCGACTGCGGCGGTCTTAGTATACCGCAAGCTGTAGCTCACGATATACTGAGCTTTGGGTCACGGGAGGACGCTGGTATATGTCCTCCCGTGACCCTTAAGATAACTATGGGGAAATCACCTGGTGTGGTGGCTGCATTAGTTTTCTTTCTTAAAGGAGAACTATGAGGTGAGTGAAAATCACTCATCCTCATAGTTCGAGTCAACATGTGACAATTAAACTGTCACACATCGGCTCAATAGATCGGGAAGTGAGCGAACGCATACCGTCGCTTGCTCACTTATCAATCATGTCCCTGCAGAGAGCCGTGACTGTTAGTCACGGCTCTCAGCAGGGATTCTTCCCCTACCCGCTCCGATCCTCCAGCCCTGACTGGGGAAACGGGCGGGGGAGGGGGCGGGTGCAGCTGGCTCTGCCTCTAGATAGGCAGAGCCAGCTGTCATTCACGCAGCTGGGTGGATTTCGACAGCATTGTTGGGATCCGTCCCAGCTGCGCTGGTCTCAGTATACCGCGAGCTGTAGCTCGCGATATACTGAGCTTTGGGTCACGGGAGGAGGTTAGCATATGTCCTCCGGTGACCCTTAAGAGAACTATGGGGAAAAACACTTACCCCATAGTTCTCTTTTAAGGCTTTTCAACTTTTTTTAACCTGGTAATCTGGCCAGTAAGTTTGTTAGCTTTTAACTTTATTTAACAGACCAAGCTGTCCAGCAAAAGAGGGTTGATACAAATCATTTAACATCGAAGGGGTATATACGCATTAATTTACTTAAAATGAAAAAAGTAAATTAATTCATACTGACATTGTCCTTCCTTCTGTCCGTCCTTCTCCATGGACCATGTGTGTGATGTAACATAGCCACCGCTCCAAGCTCACTCACGTGATGGACTACAATCTCAATACAAATGAGCAAACTAAACATGAGATTGCAATCCATTATGGGAGAGAGCGTGGAGTGGTGGCTACTTTATAACACACACAGGGACCATGGAGAACAAAGGCATCCACTCTCCAGAAGGAAGGACAGCACCAATTCAGAGACATTCTGAGGATCTACAGTGATACACAAATAAGATACATTGTTGTTAATAGTTAAGGTACTTGAATGTATTTTTAAGGTTTAACGCCAGAGTTTGGTGTCACTTTAAGGCTGGGTTCACACCTGGGCGTTTTTCAGTGCTGATCGAAGCGCTGAAAAACGCTCAAGCAGTGAAATCCTATTAACTCCTATGGGCATGGTTCCCACATGGGTGTATTTTGACACGCTGAAAAACGCCCTACGCCCGAAATAGTACAGGAGCTTCTTTGGGGCGTCTTTCAGCACGTATCCATTGGTATTCCCAAGTGTGGCTCGGGGTTAACAAAGCGGTAACCCCCGAGCCACACTCGGGAATACAGCATAGGTCTTACCTTGTCCGCGATCCCCGGACAAGTGTCGAACGCGCGTTTCATTGAACAAAAAAAAGTGCTTAAAACGTGCTAAAAACGTGCTTAAAAAACGAGCATAAAACGCGCCTATTTGGAACGCCCAGGTGTGAACCCAGCCTAAAGCACTGAAGACAGAGCTTTAGAATGACAACCAGGTAACCAGCAATTTGAGAGGTGGTCAGTAAAGGCAGGTTGTGAATTTTTTTCTATGACAAGTTTCCTTTCAAGGTGAAGTTTAGTCACATTTTCTTTTTATTATGCAGCCCCAGGGACATAACGTCCCATGTCCTAGTTGCTGCTGCCCAATGTAGAAATCCTCCCACGAGTGCCCCCAGAAAATCCCTACAGAGCAGATCTTTTGTTGCGGGGGTTAACAGCAGTGTGAAAGTGTCTGCAAAATGTGCATCCTTCACCCCCTTACTTCGTCCATTCTTCTCCAATCATGGAAGTTGTACTTTTAGCTCCCACAAGGCAAAGCGACCTGTGATTAAAGGAAGTGAATCCCACCATTCATCCTCTCATTCTCCAACCATACTGCAACTTCTATGAATGGAGATTACAAGAAACAAACTAAACTTCAAGCTTTAATAAAAAAAGAACGTTGTCTGAACTGCAAAGTACAACACTCCGTGTTACACCTCACCACTGAGCTCATTTCCAAAATAACTTTTTACTGCTCTCCTAAAATGTCATAACACGACACTCCTTTAGTTGTACCACACGCAGTTCCCCAAAAAATCTGCATAGGGCCATTATCATTGTCAGAAGTATATTACAGACTGTTTACTTCTTGCTACAAAACAGCTGCATCATATACACAGGAGTTATTTGTCATTTCACAGTCATTTAACAATGAACACCTTAAAAGATTTAGATGTCTTCAATTTTTCCAGACAGAATCTAAGCACCATACGAGATGAGCTTCTTCCCCGTAATGTACTTAGGAAGTAATCTCATTATGTGTGCTCTGCTTGACTTACATGCAGATACTAAGTAGTAAAAAAAAAAATATATAAAAAAACATGTATAGCTGAACAAAACAAACATTGACAACTCGTGCATGATGAACAGATTGCTTCTGACAAACATGAAATCACAGAAGTACAAGGAAGTGGGCCTGGCCTTTAACCTCTTGCCGTCCGCCCGTAGTAGAAAAACGGACGGACGGCACTGACTATTCAAAGTTTGGCAGAATAAAGGTAAAAACATTTTGATTTCTGAAATGCCCCGGGTCAGATACCACAGATTGTCCTTTAAAGAAAACAAGGATACTTTTTAACATATTAATGTAATCTCCTGAAGCCACTCCCTGAATATATGTACTCCCATCCATACACACTCACCCCAATGTTGGCTGCATGTCATTTATTTAGACCAGCCGGCGACTAATGCGGGGGCTCAATTACACGATTTTGGAAAGATAAGCCATAGTTGGGAGGAATCTACCCCAATTTATTGTCGGATTAAAAACAAAGGAGAGGATTCGTTTCTATATATATCTTATCTTTGAGCACGGTGGAGACTGGAGAGCACTGATTCACTAATTGTTTTTGCATTCACGGACGTTGGTGTTGACTATAAAAGCAGGAAGATATATCCTCACATAGAAGGACTTTATTGTATCCAGAAGTAATGGACTTCACACATGGTTATGTAGATTAAGAGGGAGTTATACATCACTTGTGAGATTCAACACAGGATTTTCTATATGTACACATTTTATGAGATGTACTAGCATGTTTTTTTTGTTTTTTGTTTTATATCATTAGCACAGGCATTGTGCAACACAGGTGTTGTGTATGACACAAATTTGCATATCCCTTTGTAACAATTTCACATTTTATACTATTTTTTTTCACATTTTAGGAATATAATTTTTGAGTTTGAAGCGCAGTGCTATTTTCTTTTTTCCTATTTTGGGTGTACTCACCTATTAATCACAGCTGCTCTTAGAGTGTTATTTGATTTCTAGCGCAGTTTCTTTCTATCTAACATGGCCATGAAGGTGCATGCATGGGAGCCTCCACAGAAGCCAGCTAGCTGATGGAGGCACAAGCAAGGGGGGTGGGGGGTGATGGTGGGTTGGTGGTTTCTCCTGGAGGCCGCAGCATAAACCTACATCTCACATTTCTTTGCAGCTTCTCTATGGAGAAGAATATTACTCTGCAGGAAAAAGGCAAGTTATAAATTCCTGCTGGGCCATGCATTTTGGAGGAGTTTTAAGCTGTATTTAGCATATACCAGGAGTTACGCTTTTAAAATACTAATTACATAAAATAGGGAATAAAAAACTAAATTACATGAAATAGGGAATTAAAAAAAAAACACAAAAAAAACAGCACAAGCGTCAAAAAAATACAACACAAATAAAAAACTCACTTGGAGTAGTCAAATAGCCTGCTGTCCCAGAGATCATGGGTGCCTCTTGGTCCATCATGGAAGAAGCAGGAATTTGTACCATCAAACTGGTTGAGTCCATCTTCACTGTTCTTTGATGCATGGCTATGAACTACATCAAGCAGAACCATAATTCCCATAGAATGAGCTACATCAACAAGTTCTTTCAAATCATCTGGTGCCCCATAGCGACTGTAAATCTATCTATCGATAGATATAGATATATATCTATATCTATCTATCTATATATTTAAAATAAGCATATTTAAGTACAATTCCAGTAAATCTAGAAAATGTGCTTTTATTTTGTATAACCATTGAAACACACGCAGAAGGCTGTAAACACCCCATCCCTTTGCTTTACAAGAATTTAAAGTACATCCAAAGACTCCTACTGTATGTGAAGGTCTAAACAAGTACCAGTTAATATGCAATGTAAAAACTTAATTTACCTTCACCTAGTGAGCCAAATCCTCTTTCATTTGTGTCTTCCATGCTTCCCCCTCTTACACACAGCAGCTCACAGTGGGAGGATCGAGTGGGAGGCCAATCAAAGCAGGGACAGAACTAGGTGTGACCCAGCTGCTGACTTATAAGCTACAAGTTGTGAATCAGGAGTCACAATACTAATAGCTGTGACACATGTGATGACATCTCATCCAACTGTAGTGGAAGCAGACAGACTACATAAGGATGACAACACTGTCTTAAATTCAGAACCAGCGCAGTAGTACTGCCACACCATCACAGGAAGTTGCATAAGGTGACCGTCAGGATCACCTTGTAAGAAAATAGTTTTGCCAGTTTTGAAATCTCCATCCTCTAATTCTTTCTTGGACAGGCCAGCCTTTAAGATGAACATCCCCTAGCAGTGCAGGAGCAAGCACAGTCCTTCTCCCGAGCACCCGCACATGTGCAGTGCTCTCTGTCTCCTGTAGCAGCCTCTGAGCTCAATCTGATTAGTTTAGGGTTATGGAATGGTGTTTAGTAACTGTGTAGGGCATTTCTCTGTAAAGGTGAACTAACTCTTTAATGTAAAAGAGAGAAAATAAAATTTGTCTTACAAAATTTAGTTTTCTCTAGGCCAATCCAGCAAATCCATTCAGATCTCCATGGTACAAGCAGTATGGAAAATTCCATTGAAAAAAATACACCAAATTCAAATCCATATTTTTGATTAGGATGTAAAAAGCAATCCAGGCAGTAGGCGAACATTAAAGCCGGCCTAATATTTTAATGTTAATGACCTTCATGTAAATGATAGGAAAAGGTCACTTTGAAATGTCCAAAAGACCAACAAATGTAGCATTTTTCTATTTTAATAAGACTGGGAAAAAAAGGGAAAAATGCAAATACAAAAAGCAGTTTGACTTCGGAATACTAACTATGCCCATCTGCATGTTCTGAACTTCACTTGCACTTTTGATATTTGCAAGGTAGATCATGAAAGCAGGCGGACGTAATTGATTGTTTTGTACTGTGCCTTATGCTTAACCATGGCTTTTTTTCCCCGTAAATACGTTTCCAACTTATATCTTTAATCATTTACATATTCCTTATCTCATTCAACTCCCTCAAGGAAGCTCTTAAAAAGAGCAGACATAAAAGTTGGTGTAGATCTCTTTGAACAGAAAAAAAACAAAAAAAAAACGTAATCCAATACAAAAAGAAAATAGAATGTAAAAAAACCTCCCTCCCCATTTTTTTTGTCACTTAGTTAAACTGCCATTCTTTGATATGGAATGAAAGAAACCTGAAGGGAAAATAGTTAAGTGATAAATCTACAGAAGTTAGAACAAATCCTTCTCAAGTCAAACTTTAATGTCAGAAAAAGAGATCCCCCTTCAAACAGACAGCAAATGATTAATATCACTAAAGAATAACCTTCAGGTTATTAAGAGCACAGTAATAAATTCTGTTTTCTTTCCCCTCCTCTGAAATTCTGAACATCCTGTCCTATTGATCATGGAGAAGCAGGAACATACTGCAGTTATCTTTACAGTGTTTATGAAAAGCTTGATTTAATGATTCAACATTGTTCACACTGAAGAATAATTTGATAGTTAATGGTCTTTCATCAATGGAGCTTTACTATATTTTACAGGACAAGAATCTAAATATGGAGTCATAATTTATAATAGCTGTGCAGGCTGACTTCAGAAAGAGTTTTATGTACCACCTTATTCTGCTTCAATACAAGGTGAGATTCCTCAACATGAGAGAGTCAGGTCGGAGTCTGTCTGGGCTGCACTACCCAATGCAAGGACAAGGCAAATAGCCTTATTTTCTATGCTTTCAGTCTACAACAATGTCCTTTGTTGCTCTGAAAAGAAAAATAGGACAGGCGGCATTTGTGTACAGCGTGCGGAGATGCGCTAAAACGTGTTGCAATGAGCTGCAGCTCAAATCATAGCAATGTGCATTGCAACATTGTGCAATTTAAATATGGATGCCAGTGCATGCACATTACGGTATGAACAAGCCCTTATTTATAGCTTGTTTTCTTTGGAATGCAGCCACAGCCCGAGAAGAAGCCTGTCCCCTGCCAGCATGCTGCAGCGAAGAAGACCCTTGCTCACTCTGTGGAAGCAGTAGTCTTTCTGTCTAGCACTGACACACACACTGCTGAGCCAGTTTATTAGCTCTGCAAACAGAAAAGCTCATGCCCACATCTGATTGGATAGCTCTAGCTCTTACTCAGCAGCATGGGATGTCAAACCTGTGCAGGGAGCCCAGTGCTTGCACACACACAGCAAGGATCCTTCCTTTGTTCTTATGCACCTGGTTTGTATTCAGCCAATTTAAACAGGCATGTTTAGGCCTTGGGATAAATTGCATGTGGACAGACAGAAGACCCATCCTGGAGGATCGACCAAGGTTATCTGCCAGGTCAAAAACGCTATAGCACAAGGCCATAGGAAAGAGCACTACTGTAGTTGTTTTGGATTGGCCCAGGGTCTCTAGCCACTCAGATAAGGTGTGACACATTGCCATGTGGACACAGTAGGTTGCATAGCAGGGCCTACAAGGGCAAATAGGGCCTTAACGTCTAATCTCTAGTCCATGTGGTCCTTAAAAACAGGAACATCCTCTACAGGGACCATAGGTGTCTTATTAGAACGAGACAGGTGGGTCCAGGAAAAACACAAAATAAATGTAACTTTCTTTCTTACAGGTGCATTGTTCAATAATAGCTACTGTATATGACAGGGGGAGTGGGCACTGACATTATAAGTGGACTTTGCATTCTACACCAAGGTCGACTTTAATGTGTTCTATCTACTTTTGCAAATCTGAATAAATGCTGATTATCTACAGGTAGCCAGTAGCCACCAGGCTAGATTTCACTATAGTGTCTGTGTCTTTTTTCAGTTAGTTTATAAAGAACACAGAAACTTTTGCATGATATTCTAATTATTCGAGTTTCACCTGTACATACAGTTGAAACAGTTTCCACATTAGCCAGCAGAGCTTTTCTATTGTAGTCAGCAGTACTTTAGAGAAAAAAATGACTGTTATCTGAGCCACCTGAACAGAAATTGAACATTGGGCAACTAGAATCTAGTAAGTTTGGGAATAACTTCTCTCAGTTTGCAGAGCAAAACTGTATGCATTAAAATATATATTTATGTAGTTATATTTGCATGTGTGTGAGTTTTTCATTTTTTTTTTTCCTTTACTAATGTCCCTCTCTTCTCCTTTGGTCAATCAAACTGTAGCTGCCTTTGTGTTATTTTTCTGTCTACAGGGAGAATTTTTTACTGGCTACTTGGAGAGAAATTTAAGCACAGAAACACAGTAATAAAATGATGAAATAAATAATTTGTGGTCATAAAGAAGTTGTATTATGGCTGCAGCATTAAAGGAGAACTATGAGGTGAGTGCTTTTCAATCACCTCATAGTTCTAGCCGACCTGTGACAATGAGACTGTCACAGGTCGGCTCAGTAGATCGGGAGGTGAGCGAACATATACCGGTGTTCGCTCACCTCTCGATCCTGTCACGGCTCTCTGCCGTGACAGGGGAGGGGCTGGATTCCCCCCGCTCCGATCCGCCAGCGCTGACTGGTGGATCGGACGGGTACAGCTGGCTCTGCCTCTAGATAGGGAGAGCCAGCTGTCACTCACGCAGCTGGGCGGATCTCGACATCGATGTCGGGATCCGCTCCGGCTGCGGTGTCTCAGTATACCGCGAGCTATAGCTCGCGGTATACTGAGATTAGGGTAACGGGAGGACGCTAGTTTGTGTCCTCCCGTTACCCTAAGGAGAACTATGGGGAAAAGCCCTGACCCCATAGTTCTCCTTTAATTTCCCTTCTCAAAAAAGAAAGAAACAAATATGTTGACACACAGTGGATCACAAAAAAAATAGTTGAGATCAAGAAAAAGACTAACTGCATTCAATTTACAACAGCAAAATGTTGTTAAAATCAACTATGCAACTATGTGATTCAATAAAAGGTTTATAGGAAAACATGCTGAGTTAAACCCTCCAAGACAACAAAGAGACAAAAGATACGTGTACTATAACATAATGTGTTTGTATCTCTTTGTTGCTAAAGAGGTCACAAAATAAATGTATTGCTTTCCACAAGCCTATAGGAGTATTTCAGTGCTTGGAGCATTCTCTTGGAGGAAATGGTGAAAGGTGAACATTTATTGGTCGACAAAGAGAACACATAGTGATCACACGGCAAAATTACAGGGATCCACACATATAATTATTAATGTAACTTACCCAGATCCTTTATTTTGGGCAAAACATTATAGGTGAAATTTTTATAGGATGCAATTTTTCCTTCTGGAGATGCAATTCCAACATGCGCTTCATATATGCGTACACTTTTTGGTCTTCGTGGATGCTCATGTTGTTGCTAAAATAAAAATAATTTTAATACAGAAAAACACCTTCCAGGTTAACTATATATGTTGCACAGCTCACTCTCATGTATGCACTGAAATCTTTCTAAATGAGTGACAAGAAAGCTAGAACAGCTAGAACTGCTCATTGTAAAATCACATCATCAAGTTCAGGGTTGCATGAAGAATCTGTGCATTTGCAGCAACCCCTACACTCCCAATACACCATACTTAAGAATGCTGCAGAAACATATAGATTCCATATAAGAGACTTTCTATAACTTGACCTCAATACTGTATAATCTTCAACTTTATTAAAATCAAGAATGCAATTCAATATATAAATACATTTTGACACATACTCGCCCACCTTTCCCCACTGCCCAATGTACCCCCTGGCTAGTGGCTGTTAAAGTGACACTGAACTCAGGTGTTAAATCTTAAAAATACAATCAAGTACCTTAACTATTAAGAATGCTGTAGCTTATATGTACATCAGTCAGCTATAGATCCTCAAATTATCTCTGAATTCCTGCGGACACTGTCCTTCACGGGAACTATAACTGAGTGATGCACAAATAAGATACATTTTTGTTGGTAGTTAAGGTACTTGAATGCATTTTTAAGATTTAACTCCTGAGATTAGTGTCAATTTAAGGTGTCCCCATTGGATAATTTGAGCCATTTAAAACTTCCACCCGTGTCTAATGTTGGAAATAGCCCAATCAGGATTGTCCTGCGCTTGTTTACAGAAACACAGCCAACAAACAGTTTTAATGCTGACTTCGTACAGCAAGTCTTTAGGATAAAACAAACAAAACATCTGCTTGTCCAAGCTACTACCTAAGCTCCGGTCAGTTCCTCACTAACAGGGTACCCCCCTGATGACTCCTGAAAGCAAACAGGCAGCATTTGTACCATTTTAGTTTTCTGGCAGCACTCAGCAATTTCACACAACAGTGGGCAGCCACACCCAAGAGAAAGAGAACAAGCCCCATAAGCTTGCAAATATAAAGGCCTGAAGACAGCTGGGACTAATAATGAGGTCTGGCTAACAGGTGACATGTGGATATAGAAATGGGGGCTTTATTCCACCTTAAGGTGGCCATACACTTTACAACCATCGCAAGACCTAAGTCTTGCAAAGGTTGTAAAGTCATTAAAAAAACGTACGATCTGCCCATCCTGGACAGGCAGATCGTACTTGCGATCATCGCAAGCCCGCCCCGCTGAGGGGTGGGCTTCCGATGACCGCAATGCTGAACGGCAGTGTGCGCGTGCGCAACTGGCCCGTTCGGCATTTGTCTCCCGAGCATGCCACAAACCAGCCGAAAATCGAAAGATTTTCGGCTGATTTTCGAGCATGCTCCCGCGATCGTACGATAATCGCAAAGTGTATGGAAGGCGTGTGACCGTTTTTAAGGTGCCCAAACACTGTGAGATTATCGCACGATGATCGCGGGAAATCCCGCGATCGTACGATAATCGCAAAGTGTATGGAAGGTGTGCGACCGTTTTTACTGTAAGGTTGCACGTCTTTTGTCTAAGGAGCATGTTCGAAAACCTTGGCATGCCCGGGAGACAAATGCCGAACGGGCCGGTATGCGCACACTGCCCGTTCAGCATTGCGGTCATCGCAAGTACGATCTGCCTGTCCAAGATGGGCAGATTGTACGTTTTTTTAAATTACTTTACAACCATCGCAAGACTAAGGTCTTGCAATGGTTGTAAAGTGTATGGCCACCTTAAAGCTCTACAAAGCCTCCAGGACCCAAAACAGAACTTCTGTTATACAGGTACATTTAGCAAGAGCTAAAGACACATATTCCAATGGGAATTCATTTTGAGTGGGATGCAACCATTAGCAGTAATTTTGATCCCATAAATCCAATGTGATCCAGTCCATACAGACGTGTTTGAATAATTTTCACGCCATTAATTCAATGTGGTCTCGTCCACATAATTTTTCATGTGAATCTTCAGTACAAAACAGGTTTATAATGTGCAATAGTTGAGACACATAATTATCAATGGGTCTAAAAGTAATTGGATTATCAGACACTGAAGGGTTACATTTCAGAAATAATGTCTTTCTATTCTTTTTGAGATGTTGTTTTTAAAGGTTTTAAATAAATATCATTGCTTGTAGGGGGGATTGGATGAGGGATGGGTTAAACATCATGTTAAAAAGAAGTAGAAAATAAGATTTGGATGTAACAAACTTCAGTAGCATGGCCGCATAATTTGTAACTGTTTTATAAAAAAAATATTATTATGAACCACCAAAGAAAACAAGACACCACACCCCTAAACGTGCACGTCCAACAACAAAATATAATAAAAACATGGGGCTATTAAATGTGTTGAGATCAAGGATAAATGGATCACGACTACATTGTGTCAAACATCACATAGTAATTAAAAAATATATTAAAATAAACATCTATACTAAAACATATAAAAGATCCCAGAATTACTAGGATATATACGGCATTATACCTCCCTGGACCACATCGATACATTAGGTCTACAAATAGCTCAATAAACTCCTTAAGCTTCAATGTCATCAAAACAATAAACTGGATATATTCTATCATTATAATTTGTATCTTTCGGCCATTCATAAACGTACGATGGGTCCAGTCTTCTATGTGTTTCGCCAAAGCTTCTTCAGGAAGATAGGAGGCGGCTATTTTCCGGGAATCTGATGGTGAATAGATCCACAGATCAGGGGGATATCCTTCATCACCCAAAAGATGTAGGGAGCATATAAGGATGACAAGGCAGGGGAGACTTGATGACCTTCCATGAATACCTTAACCATATTAACCAAGTTGTCAAGATCTCTCAAACAACTCCTCCGGCCAGTCCATCCGTGTCTCCACTGTCCCTAACACATCCGCACCGCACTACGACGCACTGCCTAAAAGCTCCCGGCGTGTGACATTGCCCCAGGCCACACACATCACACGCCAAGAGCTTTTATTCAACGCATGGCAAACAGGGAAAACAAACACACACGTACATGCACAAATGCATGTGCACTGGTGTGCATTTAAAATGCATTGTAACAACATACCGCAGAGCTCGTTCACACAAGCCCTAAAATGTGTGTGTAATGGTGGGGATTGGTGTGATTTGCTACAATGCCTCACACTATTTACTTATATTTTAAACTTTATTGAAGTGACACAAAATGACACTTTATTTAACTCTGCACCACAGTGCATTCCGGTGGAAGGCAGTGAGGTGCATTGTTATGTGCAAAATGCTGCATTTTTACACAACACATCAACACAATGTTATAGTTTGAACAGGACACACAGAATACAATTGTTTTCTTGTGTTTTGCCTGCATTGGTGTGAATAAACCCACTTAACACAACCCTTCGTTCAATTCTATACAACATGCTACTGTCTGTTGTAATGTGTTGTTGTGCATTGCATTAAAATGCACACATGCAAACAGGCTGCATTTTGATGCACAATATAATACATGATGTGAAAAACATACATAGAGGACAGTTGTTTTCTCGGCATCCTTGCATTCAGCCTGTGTTGATCTAGCTCAGTTTTTTGGATTTTTAAAAGTGGAGATTGTAATAGAATTTAGCTAAAACTCTGCCAATGAATGTGTATATCAGCATCCCCCAATGACCACTTATATCTCTACAACTAAGCCTGTAAGGGTGAAACATGCCAGAGGTGGACGGTTACTGGGGGGGAAAGTCCCATCATACTGTAAGCTTTAAGGATTAAAGTGTGATGAGTGAATAGCGGCGTGCAGCTTCTTTCTTCATATTTTACATTTATCAAGAGTTCACCTGGGCATAAATAATCTCACCAACGTGGTATAGTGCCTTAAAAGTGTTAATAATTATTGTTATTATTATTATACAGGATTTATATAGCGCCAACAGTTTGTGCATCGCTTTATAATACTGAGGGAAACAATACAATTAACAATACAATTTCAGTACAGGAGGTAGGAGGGCCCTGCTCGTGAGAACTTACAATTTAGTAGGAGGGGCAAGTGATACAAAAGGTAACTGTTTGGGATGAAGTAGTCGAAGATCTAAAAGTACTGTTATATGAAGGTGGAATAGGCCTCCCTGAAGAGATGAGTTTTCAAGGATCGCCTAAAGCTGGACAGAGTAAGAGATAGACAATGTTGTTTTTTTCTCTATATTTTATGCAGAGTATCTAATTATTCTTGCTCTTGTAGCACTTAGGAGCATTCAGTACACAATGACCGCATCTACATCTGAAGTGTGAGCATCACCACACACGCTGCACCTCTTAAATTGTAGTGTAGTGGTCCTTACCTGAGAGACTGAATAGAGATCTCGCGGTACAATTTGGTGCCTGCTTTCAGTGTTTAGGTGCTTGTAAATTATTTAGCAAAGTCATGATAGCAAATCATAAGCTTAAACGGGAACTCCATGCTTTCACACACTTCAAAAGCACCACTTTGTAGCAGAAAATAACAAAAATGTTCATCACAGAATCCACTTGTTACCGTTATTATCTGTAGTCTTGAAACTGAACATCGCTGACCTGCAGCATGAGCACGTTGAAAAGGTATAATGGTCATTCGTGATAATCCTAATTTGCTGATGAAGTACCGTATCAACATTATTAGTGATTTGTATCTGATCCAGTTAAGTTGGATTCCAATCAACTTGCAAGAAAAACATAACCCCCAGAACATAACAGGGAGGTAAGGGTACAAAATCCCACATCTTGCATCTTGAGACTAGATAAAGCTGCTGACCTCCAAAAGGTCAGCAACATCTGTAGATGAGTAATGTTAAGCCAGTGAACCACCAATGCCAATTCTGAGACTCTCTTGCAAACCTAACAAAGAAAACACAGAAAAGCACCTACTTTGTAAGGATGTGCTGGTTCCCAATGCACCCAGTCATAGACCACACTTTTTTCTTCCTGAATCACATATTTTGCCCACGGTGAGATGCGGTAAATAACCTCTCCTGATTTGCTTTTGATTACTACCTGCAAAAAAGAAGAGAAAAAAAAGGAAGAATTGAAATGCACGGTTGATATCCTAACTATACATATTAATTGTCTAGATACAGCTAATTATTTTATTCCTGATATTAATGCAATGCATACATACTGGTACAAGGAGCCAATTACATCAGTGCCTCCCCCAGAGGAACTTATCTCTATTGTGCCCAGCCCAGCCATACATACAGACACACACATCCTCACTATAATCTGTAAATTGGTACAAACATGATTACCCCAGTAATCTAAAAAGGACAGTTGTAATGAGAAGGGGAAAAAGACACACCAGAGAGCCTAAAAGAAACTTAAAAAACATCACTTTAAACACCAGGATACAAACTCCATAAAGGTAATGGCCTTGTGTCTTACAGGACAAAATGCCAGTGCACACCAGGCAGGTCTAGAAATTGGGAAGCTTAAATATTTACAAGAACACGATCTGTACGTATACTCACCTATAACAGCGCCAACCAATGTTAAAAGATAGATTCTTTAAAATTTCAAGCTAATCGAACTACAATAAAAGTAACTTCCATAACCAGATTTTAAAAAAGGATTCAAGAAAGGGTTACTACAAACGGGAATCTATATGGATGCAAACAAAGTGAGCCTGTGCCCAGACTAGGGATGTCCCAATGCCACTTTTTCAGGCCCAAGTACAAGTACATCCCCTCATGTACTTGCCGATACCAAATACAGGAAGTTCAGCGAAATTTTGCTTCCGTTCATGAAGTCCGCATCGGGTGACAAACACAACCGCAGCCATCTTCCCTGCTCTGACACATGGTTGTGGCATTCTCTAGTCGAGATCACGGTCTGATCAGTTTGATTTGGTTCGCGACAAGAAATGTGGAACAAATTAAGTTTGTGAACCGAGGTACCACTGTATGTACAAATTCTGAACAAGCAGTAAACTTCGAAATCACACATTCTTTCTCCTTTATTTTCTATGCAGGCATAATCCTAGCACATAGCCAATGTAAATATACAGAACGTTTTTCTAAGGCTGTTAGAAGCCAACTAAAACTTGACTTTAAAGTCTTTGTTAAGAGCTTTGAGAAGTAATTGCTTTACACTACATGCTGTTGGTGCCCATAGTACTGCTGCACGAGCTATTGCGCTAACCAAGTGCTATGGTGCCAACATAGTGCATGCACTTAAACAGAAACGCGCGTATCCGCAAATCATGGCGCGCGCACACGCCCATTCCTGACAGTGGTGCCAAGTGGGCTATTTAAGGATGCCTGTTGCAACTGCACGTTGCTGACAGATCTTCAGTTGTTTTCTATGCTATTGCCTGAATCTGTTCATGAATCGATGTTTGGCCCAGCTTGACTCCTGACCCTGCTGTTTGCTGACCTCGGATTGCCCACTAAACATCCTCCTGGCTTCTGATTTGGTACCGCTCTGCTCGCATGTTATCAACGCGCCTGCTCCTGACTTTGTACCTCACCTACCTGCAAGTTACCGACCTGGTCTGTCTCCTAAACTGCTTCATCTGCTTACCACTCATTCCTAGCATCTTCACCTGACGTTCAGATTCTTCAGTCGCTTCTGGCATTCAGTCATCTGCGTCATCAACCCTGTTGTCTACAGCATCAGCTACAGGCACTCCTGCCCCTCTCTTTCTGTACACCTTCTGTTTCACCTCCAGGGGTGCTCTAAAACGAGAGCTGCAAGGGGAGACCTTTCTCATCACTTCAGGCTCACACCAAGGTATGTAACACAGCAAGAGAGGTCATTGATGGCTTGTTTTAAAGCTGTTTTACTGCTTGTTAAAAATTTGTGAAAAACTAAGGACCTGTTCACACTATGTGCGATGACTGTTGTTTTTCTGCACTTGAACAACACCAGTCTCCGCCAGGGCACATTGAAAACAATTGTTACAACAATGCACCCCTCAGGTGGATTGCAGCACACTGTGGAAAAATGCAGACATGCATGCAAATGTACAGATCCTTAGGTCTCGTTCACACATAGGCGTATTGCATATGCGCGATTCGCGGTAAAAAAGTCGCGCGACCGTCGCGCATTTCCGAAGGCTACTTGGCTGTATCCCATTGGAAGCGCGAAACAAAACGGCCCAAAGTAGTACCTGTACCTTTTCAGGCGTGGGCCGTTTTGTAGCGCGTTAGGGACGGGCGGAAATACGCCAAGGTGGGAACGAGACCATTGAATACAATGGGATTTATTTTTTTAACGTTTTGTAGAGCGTTCGTCGAGCGTAGAACGCGCTACAAAACGTTCAGGTGTGAACGAGGGCTTATGCAAACATACTGAAGCTCACCTAAAGTCATCACCCTTCTTCGCACTGCAGCCGATTTACAGAAAAGATTTTAAAAAAAGGGAGCTAGTGCTTTGCACCGCCGGAATACAACGGACTCTAGCCCGCACGCTAAAACGAATTGGTTTAACATGTAGTGAACATGCTTGTGTGAGCTGGTCATAGTCTAAGTACAGCTACACTTTAACCAGTTGACATCCGCGGTGTTAAACCCCCTTCCCATCCAGGCCATTTTTCAGTATTCAGCGCTGCGGTACTTTAAAACAGGGGTGGGTGAAAAACAATCATCCCCATAATTCAAGCCAACCTGTGACACTGAAGCTGTCGGCTCTATTGATCGGGAAGTCATCGAACACATGCCGCCGATCGCTGACTTCTCTATCCTCTCACTGCAGAGAGCGGTAACCATCAGTCACATATGCCCTGGGATTCCCCCTCCCCTCTCTGTTTCTTCAGTGCTGACTTCTGGAATGGATAGGGGAGGGGCCAGGTACAGCTGGCTGTGCCTTTCTAGAGGCAGAGCCAGCTGTCAATCAAACAGCAGAGTGGATCTCAACAGTATTGTCGGAATCCATCCTGGCTGCGGCGCAGCATCTGCGCTCTCAGAATAAAGCAGGCAATGGCTCTCTATATACCGAGTTTTTGTTCACAGGAGGACATTCTTATATGTCCTTCTGTGACCCTGAAGAGGACTATGGGCAAAAAAGGTTGCCCCATAGTTCTCCTTTAACAATTAGCATGGCTCAATAAATAGTATTATTTGAAACATTTTTGTGTAATAAGGTTCTTTGGTCACAATTATTGCTACAATTTTACTTTGGTTTTATATACTGATTACGATTAATCTCAGCTCAGCCTGTTGTGTCATTCAGTAAATAACAGATTACATGTTTGTATAGACAGAAGAGTATGTGTGACTTTTAGTTACCCACAGGTTAACAGATCATTCATTTTGTGATGCACTTGACAAAGGGGAACACCACTAAAACCCTGTATACCGTTATACGCTCATTGTGTGAAAGTGTGAAGGGGCTCTAGTTGTCATTACCGGTTACTTGAACAATGAAACTGAATGCATTCCAGGACTGCCACAGAACACAGACAGGTATAACGTCATGTTTTTTGTGTGTTATAATTTTTATTTTATTTTTACATTTTTGGTAGTCATGGAAACATACATTTTAATGCCCAAGCTTATTCTGTATGAGGCTAAAACTCATTTATGCTTTACAATCTCTGATAGTTTAAGACTTGAAATGAGCACTGGTCAATATAAAGTGATTTGGCACAGGTACTGTATTCATTCAGCTTTCAGCAAAAGCCATTATGCCTAGTCTAAAAAGCACCAAAGTAATTATAAAAGGCCCAGTGTATAGCCTAGGCCTAGGATCCACGATGGCTTCATGGGGACACAGGATTTGAAGACTAGTAGAGGTACTTGCATGTACCAGAAGGGGTCAGCATTTCAGAACAGTTCTCATCTTAGGCCCTTTTAGGTCACGCCAAGTCCTACGTTAATACTTATCTGTATCGAAGAAAACAAGCAAAAGCAGCTACAGTGCAACTAATACAACCATGGCAGCAAGAAACAAACATCTTGGCAATTATTTATGCTCTTACTGCATTTTAACTCCAAATAGTAAAACAGTTTGGCAGTATTGTTTGCACTATATGTTATGTATGCTATCTACATCATACTGGGCCACTACTGTGTTGCAGGACTGCTCCTATATTTACAGATGCAGTATTTCCTATCACCTATATTCGCAGTTACTGTGAATATACTGTGCAAGTTTTTGTTGCATTCAATGGCAATTCACATTGAATGAAGGTGAATCATAGCCCGAAGCTCCCTATAATCAGGTCTACAGGTTTAGTTTCAGTACAGCTAGATACAGTATGTAAAAAAGTTGCTTTAGATTTAAAGTGTGCCAGTCTATCCGCTGCCTGGAGCAGCCACTTTTATCAGTCTATCACGTTAGAACTCAAGATAAATGTACTGGTCAGCAGAGATTTATGGTGTTCGTTCCTAGCCTCAAAAAACAATCTCAGGGAGTAATAACGGCATGCTGGAATACAAGAAAGCAGCAAATGGTAGGGGGGAAAAAAGAAAAATTAAGCATTACAGAATTTGTTATTCAAAGACTTGTTTAAAAATTATATACTTTCCATAAAGTTACCAATTATAAAACCAACACCAAAAATCACTACAATATTATATAATAGAATTTATAAAAACTGATCCCAGCCAAATATTTAAATAGTTTAATTGAGCAATAACATTCACAAGTACCATTATTACACACATGCTTAGGCCCCATTCAAATGTAGCGACATACCTTTGCAGCGGCCGGGATAGCGCGACTTTCGGGGCGATGGTAGCGCGACCTTCTCCGTCGGGCTCCATAGAAAAAAAGCAAAATCCGCCGAAAAAAGGGTCCTGTAGAAACGACTTGCGACCGCGACGAGCGACATGGAGCTAAGACAGCTCCATTGACTATCATTAGCCGGCGACTTCTCGCGATATCGTGTGGCAAAAATGCGCGATATCGCGGCGGAAATCGCGCGATAAGTCGCTTCATGTGAATGGGGCCTAAAACTTAAGAGTCGTACATGCAGTATGGTAAACAAAGCTAATAACAGCAACACACCACAGAATTAATAATGCTTAATATATTTTTGTATGTCATTATATTTTTAT